GTTATTTTTGTACAAAATTTTAACAAAAATCTTTAAAACTATTTTAATAAATATCTGAACCAATCATTTGAGTAAAAGCCTATACACCAGCTCAAAGAAAAGCCCTCTAAATACAGAAGCCAACTACGACATGAAGATGAGAAAGGTGAGTTTCATTCCCAACTCCAAATATACTGACTCAGTTCAGTACAAGCATAGAGGAAATCAGTATTGAGGATGGCAGACAGAAAGAACTACATGAATTACAGAATCTGCCTTGGAACTGAACAAAATTATGAAATGATGACATCATATCGCAATGGGATATTAGATACTGTCAAGACTATATATAAATCAACATTAGCAAAAAAGAATCTCATATGTGACGTAAGGATCGTGGAAAATCATTACAACATTCAAAGAAATAACAAAATTAAAATACCCGGATATAATAATATAAATCAACGACACTAACCAGTTCCAAGTTGCAGGAAAAAATCAGATGCAGCCTTGGTAAGTGGATCAATATTTGGACAGACAACGTAGTAGCTCATCTACCAGAAAAATAAAGAAAGACGTAAATTAGTCATAGTATCATAATAGAAGTGGAAAACATTAAACAGTTCCCAGGCCTTCATAACAGTGAGAAGACAAGAAAGAAACTTGCCAGCATAAAAGCAGATCAGACAGTTCAACGAATCTTACATGTTTTGCAGTTGCATATGGTTCAAGAGGGGCCTTTTCCCAGACTTGTAAGGAACTAGCTGAGGTTTTGAGCCAATCATCTTGGTACCTATTGCATAAAATTACTTGAAAATTTTGCACCATAAAATTGAAGGCAGACACCGTATTCCAAGGCTGTAGATCCAGTGAAATATGAAAGAAATATATGAACTTACTAGCTTAACTTATAGCTAAAACCTAGAAAGGGTACACATCTACAATCAAGAAAAGGAGTGGAAATCCATAAGAATATGAACATCGTATAGAAGTTATTATATTACAGACCGTCGCGAGGTATACGTAAAATCTTTGATCTACAATACACATTTCCGACTATAGCACCTATCCAATCAAGTCATGATGGGAACGCTAGACAATATTTGGCTCGTGTTTTGTAAAATTTACTCGTCAATCAAGACACTCAAGACAAGATTTCTTGCTTATGCCAATTTCCAGAAAGCTAAAACCCTAAATATGTTAGCATGATGCACATAAATTGTGTCCTAATGCTAGTTCCACCTCATAACCTTGTCTTATGTATATCAACCTCAAAGATCAGTATAAGAAATATCTGTTTTTTCATATTGTAGACTTAATTATGAACAATGCCGTTCTCCACCATTATATTCAATTACGTAAAATTTATGATGTATTCAAAGAAGCAAAGAAGATTTATTAAGATTGCCACAAAAGTACAAGATAAACATGCATACCC